GATTTCTGGAATATTAAAGTTAAAGGTTGGCTAATAATATCCCTCATCTCTTTTAAAACTATAGGTAAGATGCCATCAGGGCCCTGCGATTTATTTATTTTGAGTTTAGCTAAGCTTAGTACATCAGCCTCAGTTATACATATATTAGTCATAGATGACGCTGTATTCGTACTAAATGTTGGTAAGTTACTCATGTTCTCTACTGTGAACACCCGTGAAAAATAATCATTAAACTCATTTACTATATCAATTTCATTTTCAATTATAAGGCCCTTACTATCCTGCAAATTAGTGATTTCAGCTTTTAGAGCTCTTTTGGAGTTAAAATATTGGAAGAAACTTTAATTGTCATCCTTAGCCTCCAATGCAATTTTTCTTTCTACATCCCTCTTGGACAGTCTAATGTTATTTTTTAACTCTACTTAGATACTCCTGCTTAATTTTGAAATCATTAGTTATTTTCCAATTGTGGAACAGAGCCCTTTTCCTCCTGACTTTATTCTTGATTTCCTTAGTAAACCATCATGGTTGTCATTTCGTAGATCTAGTTTTGCTGGAAACAGGTATGAAGTCCTCTTGCACTTGCAACAATGTGCTTTAAAAAAATTCCCATGTCTCTTCAACTATTCTGCTATTTAACTCCATCCAGTTTACAGTTTCTAGTTTCCGTCCCATACCATTAAAGTTAGCCTTCCTAACATTGTATACTCTTGTATTGGACTTTGCTCTTTGGACACTAAAATTAACCTCAAATTTAACCATGTTATGATCACTGCCGTCCAATGGTTCTAAAACCTCTAATTTTCCAATCCTAACCTCTTCTAGGCTTTAGTCATTAAACGAAAAATCACAAACATTAAGGAAAGAATAGCCATGATTAAGCATCAGTTTAATTAACAGTATAGCCATTATAACCTTCTGCCCAGGGCAATAGGGGCCTCAAGCCACAATGTTCCCTCCCATGTAAGACTTTAGACTAGGGATTGTAAGGTTACACTCTTGATCTAATCGATTATAAATCAGGGATATTAGACTTTAGTTGGAGTAGTGCAGGGCAGTACACTCATTTTGTATTGTTCCATACAGTAGGCCTATCATTTTTTAATATACATCCATACCATGGCATAACTGAAACACATGTAACACTTCAATAGACAGCAAATTGTATAATATCATTTGCACTAAGAAAGTCGAAATAATTGGAGAATGTTAAGTTACAAATATTATTTATCAGGGGTTCGCAGCTCCGGTAGAGGAAAGCTACCGTCCAGTAGGTTTTCTAGGTAAATCCCAGGAGCTGCACAGTAGCTCTCTAGGACTGGAGCTGCAGACCCCCGTTATATATTGACGTCTAATATTGAAAGTTAATAATTCATTAAGTTCGTGAAATGTGGCTTTATTATTGAAAATTTAAATTCACTGACCTTGAACAAAAATTTGATGTATTCCTTTGGAAAAGCCCTGGCCTAGAAAATATTTTGGTCATCGAATGGCAGTATTTTTCAGCCAAGATTTATGTTGCATACAGGAAGTCGCGGGAAGTCGTGAGTTTTAGCGGAACAAGGCAAGCAGAAACGGAATCGGCGGGCGAAGGTAAGGGTCCAAAATTCCGGGAGCCGGGACGATCGGGAACAGTCAAAATGAACAATCGGGTGGATTTAAGTCGGGGGCACGAAGCGAAAAGGGTCCGGAGCCGGGATGATCTGTGCGACAGGTAGAGCACCAGACACGGGGCATACACACAGGCGGAGTCCGAGGGGGCTGAGGATCAGGGTGGGTACGGATCAGGGCTAGACGGAAGCCACATGTAAGTATGCTCAGTAAGTCTCATGCGAACAATCAACAATACATCGCTTGGAATAATCGGGGAGAACAGAGTTAAAAAAGGAGCCGAACAGGTGTTTCTAATTAGACGAGGGCGTGACAATTAATTTACTTGGACAGATATTACAACCATCTACCTATATTTAGAGACATCAGTTTTCGTTTATTATGAGGAAATTATGTGTTCGTAGTGTGGGAAAGTCTTTTCTCCCATTGGGTTGTTTCCCTTTTCTACTTCTGCTTGATTTCTGTGGGGAATGCTGTGCCCGCGCCTCCCCAGTGGCCATATGATTCATCCGCACTACTGTTCACAACCGGTCAAAGAGAGAAATGCTGAGCCGCCACCAGTTGCAGAAACCACATCTATTACCACCGTTTAACTACCAGTATGTAAGAGGGGTAACTTTTCACAATTATGCACGTTCGTGACTTGGCTAAACTGAGCACCGGATATAAGAAACAGCTCACAACAGAAGTATAGAAATAAGCATGCATTACCAGGATTCCACAGTTCAGTGTCCCTGCCCCAATAAGTAAATGGAGCGCCCAGGCAACACTGCAACCCCCACACGTACAATGATCTAAGCACAGCGATCTCTAAAACACTCGTTAGAATATTTCACAATCAGCTAAAACACACTGCTAGAGTTCATATTGCATTCCAATAAGGAAACATATATTATCGGAATAACGTACATGAAAAGGAAATATGTGCTCTCTTAAAAAAATTTCTGTGGTTTTTAACGGTAGTAACAATCTGATAAGGAAATGTATGGTATCAGATGAGCATATCTATAGCATGAAACAGAGCTAACTCCTCTCCAGCACTCATTGTAGTTATAACTATACCTACACATAACAGGAAAGCATAATCGGTTACTTTTCGTCGCATATTCTTCAAACGGTATGCTAAATGTATGGGCTAGCTGAGATCATTATGCAATTCTGTTCTACACATGCGCTGCAAATGAGAGCATGCTATTCTGATAGGTATGTTATAATGTCAGAACACCGGCGCTAAGCGTAGATCGGCCGCTTGATCGGGCTTCAAAACGATGTGAGAAGAATCTCCAAAAGTTCACATGTATCACATGATCCATGATGCCATTTTAAGCATTCACACACTGGTCATACTTTTAAATCTCTCTAGTCCCCCCATAGTCTCACATGGTTTAAGTCTGATGTATATTGTACAGTGCGGCAGAAAAAGGTAAAGGGGCAGTCACCACATGTTGGGCGCAAAAAAGCAGGTGTCTTTATTTCAGCGTGATCGCCACACCCTGTGTGTATGAGCTTAGGTAAGGGAGAATGTGAATTCTGCCTAATTGGTAGGAGCCCCTACAACACGCTCACCCAGAATTCACAGACGCAGACAAGTCCAACTTGCGGGGAGGCCAGGCCACTTGACCGGAATGAGTCACAATAGGCTGGGAGGCTGGGGAGGTTGGGGAGGTTGGGCACCCAGTTCCATGCGCAGCAGCAGAAGGGGCTCCTGCCAGGGTGTCCACGTCCAAATGGGCAGGCTTCAGACGGTCCACCGTAACCCGGACGGCTTGCCCCTAATGTCCAGTGTGAAAAACTTGTTCCCAGATTGTAGCACACGGAATGGCCCATCGTAAAGCGGCCGCAGCAGGCCCCAATGAGCATCATGGCGGGCAAAGACATATGCGGCCTTGGCCAAACCCTCCGGAACATGTGTCTGGGGCACCCCATGCTGAGTCGTGGGCACTGGAACGAAGGCCCCAGTCAAGTCCTGCAGAGCAGAGCGCGCGCATCCGGCGCACCAAGGAGCTGTGGTGGTGGGCAGGAAGTCCCAAGGCACCCACAGAGTCTGCCCGTAGACTAGCTTAGCCACTGAGGATTGTATGTCTGGCTTGAGAGTAGTCTGGAGGCCCAACAAACCCAGGGAAGCCTGTCCACCCAGCCGCCGTCCCTGAGGCTGTCCTGAAGAGCGGCTTTCAGGAAGTGGTGAAAACGCTCACACAACCCATAGGCCTGCGGATGGTAGGCCGTGGTACAATGGAGGGAAATCCCCAAAACCTGGGCCACTACAGCCCAGAGCTCAGACGTGAACTGAGCTCCACGGTCCAAAGACACATCAGATGGAACCCCGATACGGGACCCCCAACCACCAACAAAAGCCCTGGCCACGTCTGCCATGGTGGTCCATGACAAAGATATGGCCTCGGGCCACCGAGTAGACCTGTCCACCACCATTAGCAGGTGAGTAAAACCCAAGGAAGGGGGAAGAGGCCCGACCAGGTACACGTGTATGTGGTCAAAACGGCACCACAAAAGGCGCCAGCGGTACCTTTTTTTTTATAATTTTTTTTTGGAGGGACAACCCTCGGATAGGGGGGGACATGTCTCCTCCGTCCCCCCCGGGATTTACGCTCATGAGCATTTCTGAATGTGAAACCATGAAGCAGATTACAACAGCAAGAGGCTGCAGCAGCTGCCAGGCCTGTCAGCTAAGAACAGCAGAATGTCAGATGATAGTTTAGTTTAGTTTAGTTTAGTTTAGTTTAGTTTAGTTTAGTTTAGTTTATTAGCTTATTTAACAGGGAGCATGTACAGAACAAATCCTGTACCAGAGTTAGCTATAAAGTTAATTTACATCTGTGGTCTCTGGGCAGGAGGCTGAAATAAATAAATAAATAAATAAAACATCAATCTAAAACAACATAACATCTAACAAATACATATAATAACCACAACAGCATCTCGTTTAACATTAAAAACAATAACACATGACTACGCATACACAGACACTACTATCAATATATATATATATATATATATATATATATATATATATGGCAAGAACACTACTATCAATACATACAAACAGCATATAAAATAACAAAAAAAAAGATTAATTAATGAGTTAATGATCACATCTTTGATTAGCCTTCAGCCATGTCTTCAAATATATTTTAAACTGGCTGAAACTTGTACAGTCTCTAATATGAACTGGAACTGAATTCCATTTTACCATCTTAGCATCGTTTACGAGTCACACATTTCTGACCATGTCCATCATTTATGACCTCAGTGTACCCAGCTTCTAATGGCTACTTCCAGCGGCCCAAGTCACAATGCTTCTTTCATCTCAGATTGGTTTCTTGAACATGACAATGAGTTCGTTATACTCAATTGGCCTCTGCAGTCACCAGATCTCAATCCAATAGAGCACCTAAGGGATGTGGTGGAACGGGAGACTCGCCTCATGAAGGTTTAGCCAACAAATCTGCAGCGATCCTGTCATGTCAACACAGACCAAAGTCTCTGAGGAATGTTTCAAACACCTTGTTGAATCTATGCTATGAAGAATTAAGGCAGTTCTGAAAGCAAATGGGGTCGAACCCAGTAATAGCAAGGTGTACCTAATAGCCAGAGAGTATATACACTCACCTAAAGGATTATTAGGAACACCATACTAATACGGTGTTTG